CCAGAAAGGATATATGCTACGTTAGAAAGGGTAGTTCCTATCTTTACATGTTGTGAGCGACCCTTTAGATAAGATATAAACCAATTGAGAAGTTTATCGTCTACACCGACGGCTTTAGTTTTTGTAGTAAGACGAGGTGCGGTACGCGATCGAAAGCCTTAGCTAGGTCGATACTCACACCAATACTGATCTTATTATTAGAAGTATTGTCAAATAATCTGTTCGCGACAAATAGCAAAGCATCGGTGGTCGAAGCATTCGATCTAAAACCGAACTGGTTAGTAGACAGGAGTTGGTTAGTCAAGAGATGATCAAGAAGTTCTCTGCGGATGAGTTTCTCAAAAACTTTACTCACGATATTCAAAAGAGAAACTGTTATATTCACGCATAAGTAATAGGTATATGGATAACAACATAAAATGACACTTTCTGGTATTATTTTGACACGTAGCTATTATCGACTGATCATTCAGTGAAGTCATTCTTCAGTTTGGCTAAAATTCAAATTTGCATTTGTTAAGAACATAGATTGATCATAGTACGTCGTAAAATTCTTTTACAACTTTTTTATTCCACATAATAGGATGCAAAGAGAAAGTATTGAGTAGTCTTCGTTTTCTAACAAAGATCCATAGAACATGGGTCAATTTTCGGCGATATGATGAGATACCGTGATGTGAAATCGGACTTCATAATAGAAGTGGTCAGATAGAACGATGTACGACACGACGCGCAGTAAGAACCAATTTTCAACTGTCTTGAGAAGATCTGTTCCGTGCAATTCATGGACACGACTTTATACAGCTCTCTCAAAAGCAAACCTCTATTGAGAACAGTCTAAATTCAAAATTGTAAGATGTTTCCATACCCAGAAAATGTGTGTGTTATTCATGGAGATGAATTGATATACATAGTGGATGGTGTTTTTAACTTTTTCCTCGCATTATGAAAAATGCATATTCCAAATTTGTGGTTCAGTTCAGAGCAAACTGAAAATTACCAAGAAGGGAAACTGCTGTTGTGCTAAAATAAAGCTCTATTGTTGCTGTATGTTTAATATGCTGCACCATGAAAAGTGACTGATTCTTTAATTTCAATTGTGTATTTTCCAGTAATCGCCTGTAACTTCAAACAGTTTGACACGCTTGAATTCTTCTTTTAATGATATTTTCAAATCTTTTCGAGCATCTAAAAGAAGGAGCAAATAGATTCGAAAACGCATTGAATAATGAGATTAATTACCGTCAGCTAAACCTTGAATACAGCGAGAAACTGTCGTTGAATTCGCATCTACACGCTGACTTGCTTTTTGATCAACACTGAGAAGAGTTTGATACAAGTTCTGAAAACCACGTGCTTTCACGACTGCAAATATGCGCATGTCATATGCACAGAACCGTGCGCACGCATCAGTAACGACTCTCGCTGTGTCTCAGCCGAGACCACCGAAGTTTTGACCAGCATACGTTCGATATATTAATTGGTTCCAACAGCAGGAATCTTACATGAACTTGCATGCGATCTCATTTCTCAAAAATAAAGTGTTACTAGATGTGTAAAATGGCCTAAACGTTCACTCGGCATCGAAAAGTGTGTACTCTTCCTAGACGATCAATGTTAGTGTGTAGAAAAATCAATGTGTTAAAAAAGTTTCTTATTTTCCATTTTTCTCGCGAACTGCTGGTTCAAATGAGAAACTGATTCCAGAATCAAGATTACCGTGTTCAAATGTATATATGTTTTGTTAGTTTAAGTTCTTTTCGAGCACGATATATATGAAGATAAGATAATGATGCCATATATTGTTGATAAAGATATGTTTCCAAATTGTTAAGAAAATTGTTTGATTATTGTTGATGTATTTGATATATAATGAACACGAATAAGATAGGATTCAATGACAATTCATCATATTCTGATGTTCTTGTTTCACTTGTTTTTCTCGATATTTATAAGAATGAAGATAACTTTGATTGGTCTTATATAATTAGATCCTTATTAATGAAAAGGAATAATAAATAACATATACATATATTAGATAAAGAATTGAATTATTAGAGTATAATTATTAAATAAGATTTTTAACTTATCGTTAAGTGAACGATAATCTAATAGAATACGATTTAATGAGATTTTTGGAACATCGACGATTATTTGTGGATAAACATCAATTATTTTCTTTTTCGATAATGAATGATAATGATATACAGAGTGCATTAATATGTCTACTTGATATTTGTGATCATAAGAAGTTGGATTTAAAATTTGTAATTGAAGTACATTGAAATCTTGTTGATTTCGTTTATTTACACATTGTTCTTGATTAGTATCAACTTTTATGTAATCAAATGATTTCGGTAATTTGTGACATAGAATTCGTTGTTCAAACATTGTTAAATTTTCAAAGAGTGTCAATTGTTTCTTACAAATAGTTGTCAAACGATTGATTATTTCAAACTAGAGAATAAGAAAATAGAGAGAGAAATAGCCTATATATAGAAGTTGAATTATTGTTAAAATACCTGTTCAGTAGTCAAATAGTAGTAAGATAATTGTTTTTCATAGATATTATCTTTGAGTTTGTTTACTTGATAATTAATTTTTCTTAATAGATCAATATGATGTAAACAAACAAATTCTTTTAATCTTTTATCAATTATTTCTAGAGAAGGATGAGATAATGTCGATGGACTCAATTGAATATTGATCGATTTTATTTCCTAATAATATTATACATTCTTCAAGATATTTTTGAATTACATTATATTTATTTGATTATATTATCTTGAGAATATCATCCTTCAAAATAGTCCAATATAACAAACTCTCTCTATATATATAAATAGAACAAGTTGTTTTATACTTACAGACCAACTTGAAACTTGGAACCTTGATCGAAATAAGTTTGATAGAAATAATGAATTTGATTAAGACAAAATTGTTGATCAAATATTTCAAGTCGTATATACATAAAACATTGTTCTTTCTTTTTCTTTAATGGATAATTTAAGTGAAGATGTAATGAATACAGAAGTAGTTTCCGTGGCATTTTTAAATATTTCGATGATCTATACAAAGTAAACTCTTCTTGATTGGAATGATTACTATTATTACCGTTAATAGGTAAATGTGTTTTGAGTGTAGAATTCTTCATTTTTTTCGTTGCTCCTTGTGATATACATAACTGACCCATTGGTTTAATAGATCTGTTCAATAAATCTTGCTGTGATAAATTTCTTTTTCGTTTGTGTGATTGTTTGATCTTCAACATATACAGAGAATAGTAAAGCATCAGCCAAGCTACGATAATTCTGAGATGCCCTGGTTCTCATTAATCGTTGTGATGCCTTAGTTTATTTCAACTGGCGAATGAGAAAATAATGAACCGCTATTCCTTCGGAAATCATACAAATAGTAAAATAGATCGATATTTCACAAAAGATGAAAGGCAGCTACATAAAGTGCCGCTACTTCAAAACTTCAGCACTTTTTATTTTTTTCTGAAACACACTTATCCTGATTCAACTTTTCGAGCTGATCACGAATATCACTTTTAAAATTTTTTCAAACCTCTTCTTCACTGAGAAAAACGCCAAACACTGGGGGTGAGTGGAAAAAGCAAAAAATGCACATTTTCAGAAAATGCTCTACAACTTTTCAGAGGATTGAGACAGAGCTTTGAAGCTCTTTTTGTTAGATTCTCTGTCGAAAACTGAGCCAGAAAAAATGTCTTTCAAAAAATTCGAATCACGCCAATAGTTTTGGCAGGCTCTGAAATACTGACATCTCCAAACCTGACCTGTTCACTTTGTAAACCTATCTAGCTTTTTGCGTGAATGCCTAGATACTTCATTCATGCGACAAAAGATTCGCCGTCGCACGCGTAACAAAAGTATGCATTGATTTTTTAAAAAGCTTTTTCTATTTCTGAGATATGCGCAAAGCAATAAAAAAATGCGAATTTGGTGCCATATCGGCCAAGTGGCTAGCGAATAAATTTGTCGTATTTCGCTCAAATGAGCTGAAATTTTGGATTCATAGGTACAAAGTGATGCGGCTTTTAGTCGAAATGGTTTCAAAAACTTCCCACTTCTTCATAGTGGCTTCTTGGAAAACCTAATTTCTAGAAAACC